CATCTAAACTGTCACGGAGGTGGCCGGCACAGAGCTCCCACGTCTCCTCCTTTGAAAACCCTTCTCTCCCTGGCTCTGTGGCTTTTATGTCTCCTCACAAAGGGGCCTGTCCGGAGGCCTGGAACGTGCAGATGCCTTTGCTGGGATGCCCAGCTCCTCCTGTCCCCAAATGCCACGTGCCTAGACATCAAAGATTCTGCACTGTCTAGCGGGTGGGAGGTGGGGAGGGTGCTAAATCAGCCACATGCCCAAATCTGGATTCTGCTTCTATTTTCCTCTTTCCGCAAGGGGGTCAGAGAGAGGAGAAGAAGGAGAGAGACGCCTTTGAAAAGCGTCTCCTGTGCCATTCGCTCAGCAGTTCACCTTGCAGCTGAGCCCAGCGACACTCCCATGGCGCGCCTCTTAGCCACTCGGCAACTTTTTTCCCTTTTATGATATTTTGGGTTTCCGATTGCCTGCCAAGTCAAACCTTTATCATTTAATAGCAGAAAAAAAAAATTCTCCAAGTCATTCCCAGTCTAAATGGTCCCTATTCCTGTCCCCTGCCTCTCCTGGCTGGTCCTGGACAAGGGGCTAATGCTGATAAGACTTACCCACTTGCAGGCAAGTGTCAACTGTACTTGAACTTGAACTCTAATGGGGCAATTTTGCAAATGGAGTCATGACGATTGCCAGGGGGAATGAACACACAGCACCGCTGCTTTGCCAAGCAAGTTGTAGAGATGGGGCTGTCACTCAGGGGCAGGAGCAGAAGGCAGCAGAGACAGGGACAGGGAGATGCGATTTCCACACCCTGAGGCCAGGCAGGAAGTCAGGACACTGGGAATGAAAAACGCTTTCTGACCTCCATCCCCAGGCCTAAGTGACTATCTTACTTGTTTTCTTACCTGTCTTTCTTACCATGTGTCTTTGGGGCCTGGAACAGAGTAGATGCTCAAAATTTATTAAATAGATGAATCAATTTGATTACACCTCTCATGCTGCAAACAGAGAAGGTTTATTTAGAAGTCTTGGGTACAATAATGAGCTCATTGAAACCATCTAGCTCTCCCCGCTCTGTAATTTCTTGGGAGGGGTAGGCTCGGATGAAGAAGAGGAGATGGAAATCAAGCAAATAAAGGCTCTCATGGTCACAGTGGCCTCTCTGTCCCCAGACCCATGGACGGGGCAGTGTGGGGAGGGTCTGCTCTGGGCGTAAACAATCCATTTTGGCCTCTTCCCCAACTGCTGTGCACTGCGGCAGCCTTGGTGCCCTCTCACCCTCAGCAGGGCTGGGGTGACACGAGGCTGGAGCAGCCAGTCCACTGAGGGCGGGAATCTGCTGGGCCCCAAGCTTAACTATCTTAACTCTACCCCCTGCCCTCCTGCTCTCTCCCCTTCTTCTCGGCCAGGGCACTGCTGTGGGACGGACCCCTCCTTTGGCAGAGCCCATGTGTTCTCAGACTGTGTGTGGGCTCCTAAGGCAAAGCCATCCCCAGACATGCATCTATTACCCCAAATGGTAGCTGATCCCAGGAGAAACCTCCAGAAAGCCAGTTGTAGAAAACCAACGCCCCCTTTCCTTCTACCCCTTCTCCCGAAGACCACTAACTGCTCCCTTACATGGTGAATCTCTCCTCCCCCAAATCCAAAATCTGTCCACAGGAAAGGGTCAGACAACTGACCCAGAGAGATCAGAGGCTGATGGGACTGAAGCTTTTCTGGGGAAAATGACTCTGCGTTTTCCCAGGGCTTAAGGTCAGAAACCAAAGCAGCGAATCTTTAAAGGTGGGATTTCAGTTAGGTACCAGCAAAGAGGGTGACACTGTGCAGGGGCCAGGAGGACCTTACGACTGTACATCCCTCAGAGAACCACGGCCTTGGCCGCTTCCTGCGTCCAGAGAGAAGCGCATGAGGGGCAGAGACAGTGGTCAGAGCCTTAGGGAATGGGGCTGGCAAGTTTCAGTTCCTGTGTGTCGCACCAGCTTGTGGCTAATGCTTCTCCACTGGATTTGGTGACAGCCTCCATTCCACACAGAGGTGAAAGATTCTCCCTGCATTCTCGGCCCCTTCCCTTTCCGATGGTGTCAAACAGGGCAAGTTAACAGGAAAACGCAACATGGCAAGCCAAAGTGCTCAGCCCAATGCTGGGCATACAGTAGGCCTCTGTAAGTGTCAGCTGAGGGTACATCTGTGGCTTGGGTCTTTGGCAGAAACTTCTGGAGAGAAGCTGGAGCCTGAGGATGTATTTATTCTCAACTCTGTGGGGCCTCACCGTGCAAAAACATTTCTCTCCCAACTCAGGTACTGTTCCTGGCAAAATAAGTTAAAATCAAAAAAAGTTGAGGCAACAAAGAACAGAGCTGGAGAAAGGCCTTGCTGCCGCCCGCCCCAGTCCCCTCCTGAGCACACCTGGGGGAGGCCGGGGGAGGCCGGGGGAGGCGGGCTGCGCTGAGCGGTGCCGTCCTGCCCCCAGGAACAGTCCAGGCAGCTCTCAGCGGAGCCGCGTGTGCAGCCGATCGATACGGGCTTCGGGCCGCGGAGCTATTATTCACGCCAAAGGGCCTTGTCGGGATGAAGGGAAGGAGGGGAGCGCGAGTTCACAGAATCATAGTCCGGGGCGCTGCTTGGCATTTCCCCGGCCTCTGTGATGCTTCGTTATTTATGTGGCGTGAGGAACGAGGTGATTCGGGTTGAGGAAGCGCCTTCCCCACAGCGCACGCGCGGAGCCCCGCGAGGCCGGCAGCAGGGCCGGGGGAGACGTGGGCGGGCGCTGGCCCCGGGAGAGAATCACCTTGTCTTTCTCTTCCTTTGGCTCCTCCTGAAAGAGGCAATGATGGGCCCAGGGTGACACAAAGTGGGGCCTACTTGGCTGCGCCCGTCCCTCTTGTCTATTCCCTGGGGGGAGCCCCATTAACCACCTCCTAGCCCCTCGTGCCAGGGAATCCACCACCCTTAACATCCACAGCGTCTGCTTCTCGCCTCCTCACACATTCCCGAGCCACTTGTCCTGCCGTTTTGGTTTTGCTGCACCATCTTAATTTTTTCCCCATCCATCTTCGTGTGCCCCGCCATCTTGGTCTTGCCCTACCTGCCTGTGGTCAGCTGGCTCTGGGACGTTCACCTGGTTACTGCCTTGGAATGCTAACCGAGATGCGCAGTCTCTCTCCGCATGCTCTGTGTCTTCCTCCTTCCGCAACGAGAGGACAATGACCCTGACTCAATCACTCCATTTCAAGCCCTGGCTCCAATCAGACATACTAGTCTCTTCCCTGAGACTGGCTGCTCCTGGTTATCCTTCAACGTCTCCCTTCTTGGGTGAAATGCTTGTGATTTTAGGAACTTTTCTGAGCTGTCCACACAGTCACGTGCCCCATTTAAAAAAAGGCTGGCATCTTGTCAGCCACCTGACTGGTCACATAACGTGGATGGCTTCTGGTCTAAGTCTGATGGGCCACAGGCAGAATAAAGCCATATAAACAAGAATGTCTCCTGGGATCTAGTTTAAGGTTAGTGAGTTACAGCATAGGGTGAAGTCAAGTTTGCGGGTTGGTGGCTTGTCTCAGTACCCTTGATCCCTGTTTCTGGGAATCTGACTGGGGCCAGCTCACCACAGAGCTATCCTTGCATGTGAGAAATTGACTCTGAGTGTGTCTTCTGCTGAGTTGTGGAGGCCATCCCAAAGGTGGCAAGTTGTCATGAAGCTAATTTGGAATGGATTGGAATGGAATGAAATGGAGGCTTGAGGAGCTCCCCCACCCCTGTATGTCTGCCATTTCTACGCTCACAGTGATGCATGAGGCATGAGGCTTGAGGCCAGGCCACCCCAGGGATATGCCTACTAGGCCGGCCTTTCCCTGTAGGACCATCTGTCCTTGGGTAGGTAATGCTGAGAGATCCTGTGCTGAGCACGAAACATGTACCATCTATTCTCTTCACATCCATGGAGTCTAAGGGGTCCGTCTCTCGGGGGATGGGTAGGTGGGAGTAGAAACAAGTTGAGAGAAGGGGACTCCCCATTCCCTGATATTGACCAAAATGCCCCAGCGGTGAAGTGCCAATGAACCAAGCCTCTGAGAGTGGCTTCCATGATTATGTGAACTTATTGAATCAAACAGTATGACCAAATGCAGCCAGCAGTTACGGCATAGAGAAAGCCATTGACTTCTGACTTGGGATGATGATGATGATGATGATGATGATGATGATGATGATGATGATGATGGAGCTTTTCCCCTCAAGCTTATGCCCCATGGAAATAGTGATCATTTCACCAACGGCAAGTCACAGAAGGGAGAAAAGATGGAAGGTCAGTCCCAGCGAAGCTCTGTTCCTGCTGTCTACCAGGGAAGCACTGTTTGCAGTGAGCTCACTGACTGCACAGAGATGCCCCAGACATCGCCTCCTCACGCCCTATGCACTAGCCGACTGGACACACAGGTGTTCTTTTAAGAAGTCTCTCCTTACTCTCATTCCAGACCACAGTCCTCCAACCACACACTCAGCTAAAGCGGCAAGCGAGTGGGACTCACAGTGGTTCCTTTGAAACAAGCCTCAGTCACAACCAAACGACTGTCCTTGGCTCCGAATATACATTTCTCCCAGGAAAGCCATGTCCACTCCCAAGCACAGAGTGACCCATTAGGCTAGCGGTTCAAACCAAAGAGACGAGGAAATCACTGCTTATAGTTAATTCTCATCTACGTAGACAAATGGCTATAAATATTTATAATGGGAAATTTCATCACTTAAAAATTCTGCCCTAAATTTCCAGCTAACTCCATGAAGAGTGCCTGCCGAACAGGTTGCAAATTAGGAACAATTATTTTTCTCTTCTGCATTTGAATAGAACTTACAGCAAAAGTCATTTAAAGGGGTTAACGTCAACCTTAATTAAATATTAAAGTGTGCCTGTACCTGCTGCTACCGTTGCCCCTTCGAATAAGATATAACCTATTTTTGACAAGTTTTCATCTTTCTCTGCGGAAGACGCTACATGAAACCAAATCAGTGGCAAAGAGGAGAGTAATGAATAATCTATTTCATATTCCAACAGTACCCAGAGCTCGGGGTGGAAACATATTCAGTCAGGTGATGGCGAGAGGCTGCTGGGGTACCACATGACACAGCTAATGTTTAAATAATAATAATAAAAAAAAAGCGATAAACAAATCATTAGCCCTTAACAGTTGTTGAATGCAATTTGTTAATGAACGTAATGGTGGGGACTAATAATGAAAGAAAATAAAAACGTCTAAACAGGCGCCAAGTTGCTGGCGATGCGCAATTATTTCCTTGTCAAGTTTTTATGATTTAATGAGCCCCTCTGGGACTGACGGCTGTCAGTCAGTCGTGACTTTTTGACACCATTACAACTTCAAATACAGCAGCAGGCAGGCTGTTTTCCTCGGATTTGAAATACTGAAATGATCTGACAGTTTTAAAGAAAAGATGTGCAAAAAAAAAAAAGGAAAGAGAGGGAGAGAAAGACAGTTGCTTTCCTTTCTTTCTCTTTCTTGCCCCCTCCCTTCTTCCATGGAGTAGATAATCTCTGGATGCTGTTTGGTAATGAAAACCCAATCACTGAGGTCATTATCTGATGAGGTTTTTGGAACAGGCAGGCTTTTTTCCCCGTCTTTATTTCTTTACTTAATGATAACCCTCAATGGGCTTGCCCCGCATGGGACGGCCAGGGCCGCACAATTTTGTTCACCATTAATTTCAGCCTTTGAAGCTCAGGGCTCAGAAGCAGTAGCAAAGCAAACCCCCCACCAAGCTAGTTCCAAAATAAGACAATCCAGCCTGCCTTAAACAGAATAGCAAATGGCCTCCCAGCCCAGGCTGGCAGCTGACGTCAAGCCCACTGCATTTGCAGGCATTCGCCTTCAACGTGGAACATTTAAAACTCTTTACAACTTAAGAGACTTTAATTAAATTGCTTTTGATTCTGGAGCAGGGTAGCATCTGCTTTATTTATTCTGTCAGGGAAACTGTTTAGTCTGCATGAATTTTATATGGCAAGGGCTTCTTCCTCTTCTTCCTCCTCCAAGTCTTCATCATCACCTCCCCTCCCCCACCCCCGCCCCGGCCCGAACATCGTTTTTTAACAATATTCCCAACTTTAGAACTATTCATCAATTGAAGTCTACATATTAAGTTCCTAGAACCTTTCACAGATCTATGACCTGCTTTGAATTTGTGGGCTTTCTTCCTTCTCCATTGGAGCGGGGAAGTGGGGGAGGACAATTTGCCTCCCTTGGGGCTCCTTTGAGTCTCCCCTGCAGTATCCAGGAAGGCCAAGCAAGGAGTTCAGGGGACCTTTGGACCAGCTTCCTTCAAGGCACTCGCAAACATCCTAGGGGGTCGCCCTCAAGGTGGATTTGATGGGGCTGTTAGGCCGAGGGTTATCTGTTCATATTCTTCCCACTCTCCAGCTGAATTGGGGCAAAATCTCTGGCAAGCCCTGATAAAGAGCTAGAACCCCAAAGAAAAGGCCATCGTGAGGTGAGCCATTCACTCTTCATGTCATCTCCTTCAACATGAACGCAAGGTTTTAGTGACACATTTCGGAGCAGGCCAGAGTCGATGACCAGAACAATCTGCTTTGCTGGGTGTTCAGGAAAAGTCTGAAAACGTGGGGCATAGTTGGAAAAGTGGTTATGTGCTTTAGCTAAGATCAAGAGTTTCGAAGGCAGCCATCAGAGAGGCTGGGATAGTACTTCCACACCATTAGTGTTTCAAAATGAGAAGGCGGTTGGTTGGTTGGTTGTTTCCTTGCTTTTTAACGGTTTCTTCAAGGTGTTTGGCATGTATAGAATTCCGTTATCGGAATAAAAGATTCTTGCTGAGACGAATCCCTTAAGCCGATAGGAAAATCAGCACAGCCTTTCCACTACTCCACTGTCCTGCTTCGCTCTGCCAAAATCCCACACCATCCCTGCGAAGTTAAGGCTGCAGCTCTATTTATACAATACTAAATGATTTATCTGAACACTTGCAGGCCCTGGCCTGTTTCGGTAAGAACGATTTCTCTGGCGGATTTTGCCATTCTGCATTTCCTCCCTAAACCAGAATTGTTCTCTTCTGAGTTGAAGAAAAAATCTAGTGCTGTATCCAGGTGATCACCATCCATGGGCACAGGTGGTTAGCATTTTTTTATGAAGAGAACAGGTCTGCGTTTCAAGGATTCAAAGCTTCCAATTATTTTCAAAAGACAGTACGGACCTTGTAAGTACCTATGAAGTCTTAAAGAAAACCACATTTTGCTTCATGACTAGGGGGAAAATGACCTCAGCGTGGGCAACTCGAAGCCTGATCATAAATGAACTCATTTTGAACACAATTCCTGGTTACCCCGGACGGAAAGAAACCAAAGAAAATCACAAAGCATATTAGAGGTTTGAATACACAGTGAATTCAGGAAGGCTGTGCCGACATTTGTTAGTAAAAAAACTCAGGCCATCTTTTTGCAACACGCTGCAATCCCTTATCCTTTTAAAGGAGGTTAGTGTACATTTTCCATAAAGTTTAGTTCTAGTGGATCATCCTGTCGGACTCTACCATTTTTATAATCACATTTGAAATTTCACACTGATGGAGTCGTGTTCTTGCTCTTCCTGAAATATTCATGTTCTCTTTACATACTGGAGTGGATGTGGGGAGAACCTTGTCAGACCTTTTGCATGTATGAGGGCTGCTTTTGGCGGTGCAAATATTAAAACCGAAAAGATACAGGAATGCTTACACAGGTCAGGGGAGAGGAGGTCACAATTAAATACGGTGCCAGGGCTTTACTTTGCCAGCAAATTCCAGGGAGTATGGGATTTTTGGAAGGTAAGGAAATAGTTCTTGTAGCCAGTAATCAAAGTTGTGAAAAGTGGATATTGGGCAGGCTCAGCAAAAATATTCTTGGGCGTAGAAAAAAATTATGCATAGAAAAACAGAGAAAGTGCTAAGTCAATTTCCTGTACATCTGACATTAAATACCCACCTTTACAATGAAAGCACTCAGGCAGGTTGACTCTATCCATTATGCCTGGGTAGAAACAGGACTGGTTTGCTGGAGCCGGTCACTTGTGCTGGCCTCTGCTTTTCTCTGCATTTTTGTCCTCAGACATCACAGAAGGGCAGTTCGGTGACAAGAGGTGTGTGACAAACAGCACAGCCTGTCAGAAGCCCCAGTGATTCACTCATCATGTCCTCTCCCAAACCATGACCCCTAACATGTCCACAGGGCAAGAAAGAATGTCACCAAGGCTATTTTGGTCAGTAGATGAAATTACCAAAAGGCAAATAAACATTTACCTTCCCTTATAAAAAACAAATCTGGGTGAAGACAAACCTAGAAAAGGAAACCAACCCACATGCAAACAGGAACAAAAAATATTTTTACACTCTTTGCACTTCAGCTGAGCAGTGGTGAGAGAGAGGGAGGGTCACTCAGGGCCTGTCATCGCAAAAGAATGATTCATGTGACCGTTTTGTCTTAATTACTCAGAGCACGCCGTTGTTGCTGTTTTTCAGGGAAGAGCAGATACATCAGTGTCTTCTGACAGAAAAAGTGATCGCCATCAGGATGGTGATGACCAGGATGATGGCCAGGATGACGACCAGGATGCGGTTCTGGATGATTCTAGGAGACAGCAAAGAGAAAAAGAAAAAACCCATACAGATCATTGGAGGCCATTCTGACAAGGATCACCCAAGATCAAGCTGGCTAATCAAATGATGGCTTTGCAGGTGGAGGTAGAAAGCCGCAATGTGGGGGGTGTGTGTGTGTGTGTGTGTGTGTGTGTGTGTGCGCGCGCGCGTGCGCAGCTTTTTGGTTCTACAAACGATCCACGAAAGAAATGAATGACTCCACAGTGATTGTCACGCTGCACTCGGAGAAATGCTTCCTGCGAAACTGAAGCAAATCAAATGGCTTTCTAGGTTCGGAGTACCACGTAGTAATCTTTAAGTGATCAAGGGCCCCGTGCGAGTTTCTCTTTTTAATTTAGAATGTGAGACAAACTTCATTATTTTTTTTTATTTTTTATTTTTTACAGTGTTTCCCATTAAGGTAAAAGACTTCCAAGGAAACGTATGCCAGTAAGATACTTACCTGTACAAAAATACCTGGGAAAAAGTAAAAGAAAGATTTGGGAAGAAAGGGACAGGATTAAGAAGCAAATGTCAAACGTGCAGCTCAGGCTGCGAAACTGTCATCTGTCACTGGGGCTCACTCTCCGTGATGCCAGGAGGAAACGTTGTTTGCTCCAGAGCCAAAAAAAAGACGGAAATGAGAAATAATACAAAGTCCCTAAGTGTCTCGTGTGCTTTGGTTGGTGGGTCCTCATCCCCAGGGACTCCAACGCCCTCAGCTCTGGCTCTGCCAAATGCGAAGTCAGGAGAACCGAGTGGAGACACCGCTCCACGATGCATGCAGAGAGCTTCTGATGAAGTTGTTTCATAATTTGTTACCTCATTCTGAGCAAAGAGGTCGAACATCAGAATGCTTTGTTGAGACTTTCAAAGGGAACTGAGGTCAAACGGCCTCGCCCGCGCCCACTCCTACAGAACCAAACACCCAGGAACAGAGACAGTGTGGCAGTCGAGCTGGCCGTCCACCTGGCTAAGAACCCATAGCAAACTCCATCCGCCTGTCCTCCAAATATCAAGCAGAAAAAGGTCTGCTGTCTTAGCCTAGATCTGGATCACTGTACTTGTGGATCACATCCACAAGAAAAGCCAGGTGAGACCAGCCAGGCCCCCAGTTTAACAGAGGCCCCGCCCTCCTACTTTGCGGGGCGTTCGCAGCCTTTTCTCGCTTCTGCATGAGTTTCTTTCACTTGGAAGGATGACGACGCACACCCTCGTGGTTTCAGTTGGATTCCTCTTACCCAGCCCCTTCTTCCCAAACCTAAATGGATGGATGCAGACGTTCACATCAGACAGGCCCACTCCCTCGTGGCCCCCTGGAAGGACTAGCTCCCTCTCCTCCTGACAGGTTACAAAATGATCACATTTGCTGACACGTCTTCCGCAAAACTGCTTTAGTGTCTGTGTCCACTTTCCTCGAAGGAGATGAATGACCCGCTCCGTCCTCATTCATCACGTACGGCTCGGCTAAGATCTGTCTCGTTTATTTCTTCCCTTCCCCACTAGAAAGGCTGCGCCCCGACATTAATTCTTCTGCGATGACAGCTAATTCAGGCTTAACAGGCCGTATTTACTCAGGAGGCAGGAAGATTCTCTGTCCCCAAAATAAATAAATAAGAACGGGACTTCATGGCTTGTTAAACTGAAGCTAATTATGAATGCTCTTCGGTGCTACTTGGTGGCTTGATTTAAAACCTAAATTGATTTTTTCCCCTTTTTTTTCTGGAAGGGGCAGAAGTCTTCAGAACAGTCCTTACACATCCCGCTTGCCCAAGTCACTGTCACAATCTCTATTTACCACAGTCACCCTCATCAGATTTGCAAAGGAAATCAGCAAAATTGAAACTCAGCAGTGAAACAGATTAAAAGCATGAAAACTCTTTAAAATTCTGCCTTAAGTACGCTTCGGTAGCGTGTCTCTTGGTTGACAACCATTTTATTTGTGGGTTGAGGGCCCCAAGGCATCCATGACGCTCATTTATAAAGGATTAACTGTGGGTGTTGCTTGTTTAATCGGAAGCACGGTTAGAAAAATGAATACACAGGAATCCTAAATCCTCGGCTCTTCCCTGGCCTTCCATCATCTAGAGCAACAAGGAGTGCATTTCACCCGAGATCTTTCCTAACAACTCATATCTTTAGTTCACTCAGCAGACACCCCATCCCAAGATGGGCAACCTCACCGCTGGGTCGCAGACCGAATTGCTGACTCCCTCCTGGGTGGGTCCGCGGTCACCTCTCCGGCCCCAGCCTCTGGTACAGTTACTCAGAGGCGCTCACACGGACCTGTCCAAAGGATGACAATGAAAGAACGCAGCCTCCATAACGTCATCCTTCCATTCAAGGGAGAACGGAGATCTGTGCGAATCTGATTTGCAAGAAAATCTCAGGGAGTCTGCGTAGAAAAGGCCGAAGCTGAAAGTAGAAGTAAAACCCCCCAGAGATGAAATTTCATACCATCGTGCCTTCTCAGAGCACTCCTGGGTCCTCTCTGCGAAGCGAGGGAAGGAAATGGTCCTTGTGGAACTGAGGTGTGTGCTGGCCGTAGCGGAGGTCAGCGGGAGAGAGCATTTGCTTTCAAACCAGAGGCTGGCAGATATTTGGGGTGAAGGGTATAGAGGGGCGAAAAGGGAGCTGGAGAAGCCAGAGTGGGAAGTAAGCTTGAGTCTGGCTGGACCATCAACCCAGCTTTGGACTTCAAACGTGTCGGGCAGATACAGTGTCTCTAAGGACCAGCAAAATGAGCTGTTGGGACTCCTGAATGGACAGGATGGAGCCAGCCTGGAGTGGGGAAAACGGAGGCTGGTGTTGGTTGGCCCCATCTGTGAGGAAGCCTGAGCAGTCAGAGCCAGAGGCTGCTGGCAGGTAGTGCCAAAAGGAATGCAGAGTTTGGAGAGAATCAGAAAAACAGACAGGAAGAGGAGTTCCCAGCCGGTGAGCCAGAAAAGGAACTTTGGGGAAGCCCAAAGTATCTTCCTTCTTAACTTTGGGCAAGGAGGGGTAGATTTATGTTCCACTAGGTATGTGGCAAGCAGTCTTAATCTCCCTTTTGAAAATGCAAAGTGTGTTTACCCAGTAAATAATTTAAGAAGGAATATACACTTGAAAGAAGACATCCATTGAACCAGCTAGGCTAAATTGCCTCCAGGCAAAAACTTGTGCATTTGCATGCTGCATTCTATTAAGTGAGCACACTGTGGCTTTAAAAGAATGCAGAGCCAAATTAAAAGGAATGTGGGCTCGAAACATCAAGGATTCTCCAAGTTTACATTATGAATCACAGTGCTGTTGATACAAGATGAATTAACCATTTACTTTGAGGGCGAACTCACAAAGTACTATTGAAAATACTGATCCTATGTGGAACCCAGGGAGCAGCGAACCTTGCCAGTGCAGTCCCCGCCCCCTCTGGAAACAAGCTCTTGCGTGTGGCAGCCGGAATCACACAAGACTGGTTAGCGTGAAGGAGGCAGGCAAGGCACCTGGCACGGTTCTCTGCTCTTGCTTGAGTCCAGAAATTCCACTGGAGCAGGCGTTGCCACCACTCACTGGTATCCAGTCCGCCTCTACTTCTAGGCACAGGCTGCCCTCACCTGTCCTTTGATGTTAGGCGTGGCCATGCAACTTGTTTTAAGTCAATGAAATGTGAGTAAAAGTCCGGGCATCACTCGCAGGTGGAGGCCTTTCCCTCCCAGTGTGCGACTCTCTGGCCGGCTCTACCCTTGCTTCTGATTCGGGAGGCTGTATGTTCCAGGCGTGCAGTTACAGGATGGCGGCGACGCCTTCTGCCTGAATCCCCGAGTCATCGCATGAAGGACCATTGCCCTGGAGACTCACCTGGACTCAGAGAGAACCTGTACTAAGCCGATCAGCTTTGGGGGTTGTTTGTTGCTGCAGCATGACATAAGCGATCTTGAGTGATGCACTACTGCCCCCCTGCTCTAACAAGATGGGGGGTCTGACCAAGCCAAGAGAGGATCTGGTTTAATGCATTCCAGAAGCCAAGGTATGATGACGGTTGATAGGACTTCCTTTAAGAATAAGTTTTTGCCTCATGGTTTTCAAAAGCTGGGATCCTCTTCTGTCTGTACTTGTAACACGTTTCACTAAAAACTCAGGTGCTTCCTCTAGCTGTAACCGATGCCATCATGTGCGGACGAATGAAGGTTATCACACGTGATGTGCAGCTAGGCACTCTGCTTCCCATGTATAACAGACATATGTTGGCTGCATTCATTTATTCATTCCACGCATCTGACGCTACCCTAGCCCCAGGGGTAGAGCTGTGACCTAGGCTAAGATGGTCAGCGCCTAAGAAGGAAACTGGAAGACAGCAGAGCCGAAAGAAGGGCAGAGAAATGGAACCCCAGTCCTGGACGATGGTCAGCGTGTTCCATGATGCTGGTCACAGTGACTGGGTCAGGAGCGGGCATGTGACTTAGGCCAGTCCGATAGAGTGAATCTCAGAAGCTTTGCTTGGGATGTTGGGTCATCTAGACTGTGTGGTGTGTGGCTGTTAGGCCTAGGCCTGCTGTAGCCACTTTGTTTCCGCACGGAAAGCCAGCCTAAGAAGGAAACTGGAAGACAGCAGAAAGAAGGGCAGAGAAATGGAACCCCAGTCCTGGAGACATGAGGAACCTCTATCTCAAACCACCCTTGCTTTGGACTTTTAGTTATATGAGAAAACAAACTTTATTTTTCAAATTAGTTTGAGTTAGCTTTTCTGTTATCTGTGACCAAAAAGCATTTTTAGGTTGATCCACTCTCATTCTAAAACCAAGTCCGTGATCTGTTTTCCTCACCTCTTCCAAGAAGAATTTTCTGACCTTGCCCCTCCCACCCTTCCACGTCCTTGTGTATCTCTCTCACCCTGATCACAGTTTATGATTTTCTGTTTCTGTGCAGGTTTCAATAAAAGTCCGAATCCCCTTTGTCTTTTGTATTCCCAGTGCCTAAAACAGAGCTTAGCATAGAGATTCTCAAAAAAGGAAA